CACACACCAAGCACAAACACTTACTGAACAGACAAAGACCTTTTTTTCCCCTCCTCCCTCTTTGAAAGCATCTTGTCCCCCCATTGGTTCCTCTGGTCAGGTGTCAGCTAGGCTATGTGAACTTTTTAACCCTTTACAGGTAAAAGAGGAATTAACCCTTAACTGTCTTTTTATGACAGGTAACGAAGTCAAGGAAGTAACAAATACAATTAATGAGTGACAGTCACACCTTCAGTGACATTTTATAAATCTCTGTCCCTTTTCTTCTCCCTTCTCTGTCACACTGTTCATTTTTACTCACTATTTTTCTAGCACTCATTTCCATCCCGAAAACAACAAGGAGTCTGGTGGCACCTTAAAGACTAACAGATTTCAGATGCATCAGAAGAAGTGAGGTTTTTACCCACGAAAGCTTATGCCCAAATAAATCTGTAAGTCTTTAAGGTGCCACCAGGCTCCTTGTTGTTTTTGTAGATACAGACTAACACGGCTACCCCTTGATTTCCATCCCTGTTTATTTCTCTGTGTCTTCCACTCTCTTCTAATCCCTGTCACAGATCATTCCCCCTTATGTTCTCCATTCTTTCCCTGGAGTTTATCCCTTCTGCTCTCCTTGCCTCTGGCTGTTCCCCTCTTCAGAGTGTTTTCCTTTCATTGTTTTTATATTTAATTTTCACCCTTTGTCCAGGACTCTGTTTATTTTGTTTTACTTTATCTTTTCCTTTTGTTTTCTCTGTTCCATCTGGTTCAGCCCAGCCAGCCCCCACCCCCAACCTGTGACTCAAACTTAAAAATCATGAGTCAGAACCAAAAATCATGAAATTGACCCCCCCCAAAATATGAGGGCTCAAAACAATATACAATGTATCCTGCTTTATCTTCTGATTTTTAAACTCTTCCTGCCCATCCCGCATGTGTGTGATAATTACAGTGTTGCCGGTTCTCCTGTAGTTACAGGGGATAGTGACTTGGGCCCCTGCCACAGTGGGGCCTGGTCCACACTAACCCCCCACTTCAAACTAAGATACGCAACTTCAGCTACGTTAT